GGGGGGGTTCGGTAAGATCTTTGTAGCACAAAATATATAACTTGTGCTCAAAATATATAACTTATGCTCAAAATATTTCTTTAATCCTAGTTTCATAATAAGACTTGATATAAAATACTCCACTATTCCCCACCACCACCACTCCATACACTATTGTAACGTGCTTTCATTGTGGAGCATACCAACCAGGCTTTGGAACTCTACCACTTCCTACTCTTCAAAATTCTTCCTAAACCTCAAATTTATAACTACTTCTCCATCTTGTAGTCATCGGACCACATGGATAGGGCATGAAATTCATTAAATATTTGGAAAAATAATCCTCAAAATGTTATCATACACCACTTCTGCCCCAAAAACTCATCCTCCCATCCCTTACCTTGAATGACGCATCGACAGTAGACTCTTTCCATCCCTTAAAAATTCCTCCAATGTTCGCACACATAAAGAATAGTGACATTTTTAGTCCTCCAACCCCTTCCAAGGTCCCATATTTTTCCACTACTACCTTCCTCAAAAAAGAATATTTTTCAATCCTAAATCTCCATAACCAGTTTCCTAATATGACCTTGTTGAACACCATTAGAGTCGATTGATTTGTGAACAAGTTAAGTTAGAATTATAATTAGGGGCGGGAATGACATGATTATTTAGTTGATGTACTTATGATTACAATTATTTGGAGATGGTTGATTCATTGAACTAAAAATGAACATACAGGAAATAAAATAATACATTATTTAGCTTTACACTAAATAAGTTTGAATAAACTTTTATCCAATTTTCGTCTTGGATTTCTTAAAAGTCTTTGGGAGAAGCGCTTTCGAGAAGCAAAAATGTGTCATTTTGTTATTCTATCCTGGGATGGTTATCCCACATATAGTGTGGCATAAACAACCTCGGGGTTGCTTTTACCTGAATCAAAAGTTCAACCAGATCGCAGATAAACTAATCCCACATTTTATCTCGAAATTATTATCTTTTATCCTTGTAATCAAACAACCCCTTAGATCTTCTAAGACCACTCCTACACTTAAGGGTAAGAACGATCTCCCATCAACCCATGTGGAAACTTCACTATCATCGAACCCCATAGATAGTTTCTCTAAAGTCTTTCCAACTTTCACGTGACATTAGCCGGAGCTTGAAACAAGGACATAAAATAAGTGAAA